CCCGTTTCAGACAAATGACTGTCCAGTCTGTTCTTTAAAAAAAAACTCCCCGTGTTGGAGCACCCACAAGTTCTGGAGGCAGGCTGTTCCACTGATTAACTCTTCTCACTGCTCCTTACTTTCTAGGTTGCTTCTCTTCTCTGTTAGTTATTTTCCATCCCTTGCTTCTTGTCCTGCTTTGGAGAGGAGCTTTGACCCCCTCTTTATTTTGTGGCAGCCCCTCAAATATTGGAGTACTGCTATTGTGTCACACACACACACACACACACACACACACACACACACACACACACGGTTCTCCTTTTCACTAGACTAGACATACCCAATTCCTGCAATTCCTTTCCTTCCAGATCAACCAGGAACAGGATTCTGCTGGATCTCACCCCACATTCAGGAAACGCTTTGCCAGAATTGAGCCCTACTATTTTAGAGAGCGAAGCCCTCTCCCCCCCCCCCCCCAGATTGCAGGAGCCCGGCTACAATTGGCTGACGTTGCATACCCGGCAAAAAAAGGCGCGCCCCCCCCCCAATTTGGAGACTCAGTTGTGGATAGGGCCACCAGCCCAGTGCCAGGCCTGGTTTGCTTAACCAATGCCAAAACAGGAGATTTTTGCCTTTTTACATACAGCCTGTCAATCTCCAGTTTTATGCAGGTGGTTTGAGCCCGTTCACGTGCGTTGCAAAGGAAACACGGATTGAAGTGGAAAAGTGAACTGAAAGTAGCGTGTAAACTCCGTGGGGCAGTCCGAGGCTTTCTAAGTTAGGGCTGGGCAGGCAGGGTTACATACACCCCCAGGCCCTATTGATTGGGGGGGGGGGGGAAGCGATAGAGTCTTTCAAAAAAATCTTAAATCTTCATTATTTCTCGCCTCTTGTTTGAGCCAGAATGGAGATTCTGTTAATGGTACTTTTCAGCCTCTCTGAATTTCCTTCGACATTCGTATAAATAAAAGTGAGAAATATTTAAGGCAAGCAAATTCTGCCTGGGTCGTGGGAACGGAACAAGGGTTTTCCTGATTTGGGGGGGGGTGTCCCCCCCTTGCTCTGTACAGGAAAACTCACCTGCCAGGCTGTGCCCTTCCAAACTGTTATAGTACATGGGAATTCCCTCTTCACTATTGAGATGGACCGATTTGGTAGCGTGTATATTTCATTCTTCTCCTGCTAGGTAGAACTGCTTGGGTGGTGTATTTTACCGGCGTGTGGAAAAGTAATAGTAATAGTAGTAAAGTTGGAAGGGACCTCGGAGGTCATCTAGTCTAACCCCCTGCTCAGGCAGGAAACCCTATACCATCTCGGACAAATGACTGTCCAGTCTCTTCTTAAAAACTTCCAGTGTTGGAGCATTTACTCCTTCTGGAGGCAGGCTGTTCCACTGATTAATTGTTCTCACTGTCAGGAAGTTTCTCCTTAGTTCTAGGTTGCTTCTCTCCTTGGTTAGTTTCCACCCATTGCTTTTTGTCCTGCCTTCAGGTGCTTTGGAAAATAGCTTAACTCCCTCTTCTTTATGGCAGCCCCTGAGATATTGGAATACTGCTATCATGCCCCCCCCTTGTCCTTCTCTTCGTTAAACTTCGGGCAGACTTCTGTTTTGGAGAAGGGAGACGATTCTCTTCCTGGTAACTTCTCCTAAAAAGAGGAGGAATCTTTTGAAGCCGTGCTAGGTAGAGGACCTTGAATTGCTGAACAGTTAGATTAATTTGGAATTTGAACCGTCCTGCCTTAGGATTTCGGTTCGCCCGGCCTCTGATTTTATTTGCAGTTCCGTGGTCTCTCTGCGTAACAGCTATGTTGAACGTTGCGATCTCCTGAGCCTGCATAGAGTTCCCTGCCTGTTGCGTTCAGATAACCTACTTTATTGCGCAGTTTTAAGCCTGGTTCGTTGCTTTTTAAAGTTGCTTTGATTCATTTAATGCGTGGCATGACCCCAGCTATTCTGCCAAGCCCAGATGATCCAGTATAATTTTTCCAGTAGGACAGTGTCCCTGAGAGATTTCTAAGAAAGTAAAATTAACAGAATTACAGCACTGCAAAGTTAGAAGGGACCTCGGTGGTCTTCTAGTCCAACCCCCTGCTCAGGCAGGAAACCCTGTACCATTCCAGACCAATGGCTGTCCAGTCTCTTCTTAAAAACCTCCAGTGATGCAGCACCCACAACTTCTGGAGGCAAGGCATCCCACTGGGTTAATTGTCCTCACTGTTAGGAAATTTCTCCTTAATTCCAGGTTGATTCTCTCTTTGGTTAGTTTCCATCCTTTGCTTCTTGTCCTGCCTTCAGGTGCTTTCGAGAATAGCTTGACCCCCCCCCCACTCTTCTTTGTGGCAGCACCTCAAATAATGGAAAACTGCTATCATGTCACCCCCAGTCCTTCTTCAAAGTAGCAAAGCTATGGGTGATTTCCCGTGTATTAATATTATTGTTATCATCAGCTAAAGTGGCATTCTAAAACAGATCTCCAGATGTGGATTTGCATAATTGTGAGTGCAGAATTTGGATGATTCTGCCCCTGTTTGGTAGCACAGAGAAAATACAGTTGCTGCAGCCGTAATTATTAAATTACTTTTCTCACTACCCATTCCAGGCCAGATTAAGCCAAACAGACTCTTATTTGAATGGGGCCTAGCCTAACCACTATATATATATATATATAACAGACTCTTATTTGAATGGGGCCTAGCCTAACCACTATATATATATATATATATATATATATATATATATATATATATATATATATATATATATATATATATATATATTTGGGGGCCGTGTGATTATTTGCGGATTATGTCACCCTTTGGAATTAAAGCAGATAGAACTTTAAAGTTAAATTGATTAAAAACAAACTTGTATCAGCTTTAAAAAAAAAACTACCCCTAATCAAAGTGACTGCAGGTTGTGTGTTTTCATCCCATTTTAGTTACTTTAACGTAGACAGAAAGTCGCAACGTCTTAGCAGAGAAAGATCTGTTTGCTTTTCCTTTAACTTCCTAAATCATTTTTTTAAAAAGAAACATAATTTCCTATCTATGTTACAAGATATATTTTTTTTACCTATTGCAAGCAGAGATTTTTTTTTTTTTGAAAGGAACCTTGAAATGGATGAATTTTACTCCCAAACTATTGTAGATTAGCTCCTTGGCCTGCTAAAAGGTAGAGGCTAGAATAGAATAGAGAATAGAATAGAACAGAACAGAACAGAATAGAACAACAGAATAGAATTAAGGAATAGAATAGAATAGAAATAAGGAATAGAATAGTAGAATAGAGTAGAGTAGAATAGAATAGAATAGAATAGAATAGAATAGAAAAAATATAGGATAGGATAGAATAGAACAGAACAGAACAGAATTAAGGAATAGAATAGAATAGAATTAAGGAATAGAATAGAATAGAAATAAGGAATAGAATAGTAGAATAGAGTAGAATAGAATAGAATAGAATAGAATAGAATAGAATAGAATAGAGAAAATATAGGACAGGATAGAACAGAACAGAACAGAATTAAGGAATAGAATAAAATAGAATTAAGGAATAGAATAGAATAGAAATAAGGAATAGAATAGAATACAATAGAATAGAATACAATAGAATAGAGAAAATACAGGATAGGATAGAATAGAATAGAATAGAATAGAATAGAATAGAATAGAATAGAATAGAATAGAATAGAATAGAATAGAGAAAATATAGGATAGGATAGAACAGAACAGAACAGAATAAAGAAAATATGGAATAGATGGAACAGAATACGGCCCTGGCTGGCTGAGGAATTCTGGGAGTTGAAGTCCACAAGTCTTAAAGCTGCCAAGTTGGAAGACCCCTGGCCTTTATCTACTAGGATTCCGGAGTTGTAGAACAATTTCTAGTTGAGGTCAGGTTGCTCCTAAAGTTCAGTCAGGGTTTCTCCACCTTGGCAACTTGAAGACCCGTGGACTTCAGCTCCCAGAATTCCGGGAGTTAAAGTTCACGGGTCATAAAGTTGTCCAGGTGGAGAAACTCTGCTCTGGATGGCAGTGGCTGGAGCTAGGCAGCATGCGTTATGAGGATCGGTTGCTCGGCCATCCAGGTGTTCAGACTGGAGGCAGAAGCCGGTGCTTTAATAATATGAAAGATATTCGTGAAGGGTGTCAGCCGTTCCAAGCCGAGCTGCCTTTTTGCCTTTGATCCAGGGAGACTGTTGTCAAGGCCAGTTGTTACCATCCTGGGTAGGAAGGTGGCACCCGGCAAGTTAGCACCTCTGGAACCGAAGGGAGATATGTCATCTCCTGGCAAGGCCTGCTCTCCGCTCGGCTTCCTGTCCCACGGCAACTTTTTGATTTGAGTTGAGTTGATTTTAAAAAAACAGAATTCAGTTCAGCCGTTGGCCCCGTCAACTCGCCACGGAGTCCATTCTTTGGGGGGTCCCTGCTCCTTCGTTCTGGAAGATTGCCCTCCAAATATTGACAATTAAAAACAATTTTTTTAAAAAAAAAAAACCAGCCCCCTTCCTCCCCTTTTCCTTCCCTCCTCTTCCTCATCCAGGCACCCTGTCACAGAAAAGTTCACACTTGTGAATGGGAGGCAATGTTTGGCAGGGTGCCAGCCTCCCCTTCCACTTGTGTGGGGGGGGGCAGGCCTAGCAAGCGCCCCGTTGGTGCCAGGCGAGGATCCTGGGGAGGGGGAGCGTGCCGAAGCCGGGCACCGTCTTCTGATGCCACCGACCAACTTAATGTTTTTTATATTTATTTTTTTAGCAATAATTCCATGTCCTGAGGTTACAAACCGGTTGCAACTGGTTTTATTTCTTTTCTTTTTTTTTTCTCCCCTTCCTCTCCCCTGCCCCCGCTAGGCATCATGGGTAAAAGTATAGCCTTCTCTCTCTCTCTCTCTCTCTCTCTCTCTCTCTCTCTCTCTCTCTCTCTTCCACCCCCCCCCCTTTCTTTTGTTTAATATAACGGCACCACAGATGATTGGCAGCGACGTGCCCGTTCGGAGGCGGCTGGGCTGGGGCTGGTCCCTGGAGGGGGATGGCACGCCGCGGCCGCCCCTCTTCCACCGAGGGGGCTTCTGGTGAAGCAGCCCCCCCGGCTCACCAGCCCCCTGCCCTCTTGGCGTGCTCCCGATCCGGCTTCCCCTCCATCTGTCTGCCTGGCCCCCCCCTCTAGACAAGTCAAGGAGGGTTATAGAATACGCTACCTGTAAGTACCCTGTGGGGGGGGAGTCCTTTTCTGCTTTCTTTGGCTTGGTCCCCATCTTTATCCATTCCCCCCCTTTCTTCCTTTCTTTGGGGGAGACCCAAACCAAAACAATGCACCCCTCAAAGGAGATGGAGGGGCCGCGGGGATCAGCTGAGACTTTCCCCAAATTCAGGTCTCCTCCATCTTCTCTCTCTTTAATCCTTCCCTCTCTTAACAGTTCTTTTTTTTTCCCCCTCCAATCCTGAATTCGAGGCGTCATTGTCGTGTTTGCGCATCCGTCTGCCCCCTCCCCCGGTTCTGGAGGGGGGTCCCACTCCCACCCACCCCCCAGATCAGAAAGGTTTCAGGGGAAGCAGTGGGGGAGGAAGGGGGCTGTTAAGGAACCCAGCCCCCCCTGTGCGGGCGAATGCCTTCTATTGTCTGTCTGGCGTGCTGATAGTTGGATCAAATACCCCCAACCTTCTTGTATCCCTCCCTTGTCCCCCCCCTCCCTCTTCCTCCTCCTCCTCCTCCTCCTCCCCCTCCCTGCCTGCCCCCCCTCCCTCTCCTTCATGTCAGCTACAACCCAGCTCTGTGAATGGAAGGCACAAGGCTGACAAGGGAGGCAGCGCGCGCCTGGCTGGCCGGCAGCCAGGGGCTGGAAGTCGGCTTGTGCGCCTGTGTGAAACGCACAGGGGTGCACACACACACACACACACACACACACACAAAAGCGTGCGGCAAGTAGAAGGGCCTTGGCCGGCTGTGTCAGGGAGGGGAAGAACGGAGGGGAGAGGGCTGGAAACCCTCCCACCCCATCCACCCGCCTCCCTTTATTTTCTGGAGAGGGGTCAGAACGTGGAGGTTCCACTACATTTCCATCTGGAAAGGGGGAGCTGTCCCAGGCTGGGTTTTTTTTTTCCTCTCCCACTTTTCATGGGGGGTGGAGAAACAAGGCCCACCCCCACATGTACACCCACTTCTCTCCCCCCCCCCACTCTTTGCACATGGCTCGGGAATCGAAAAGACCTTGATTGAATGGCAGGATTCTGGGGCATCTTGGTTTTTGATTTTGATTTTTTTTTAAATTTTTTTTTTTTTTTGCTTTAATGCCCCACACATGTAAAATGAGGTAAAAATGAAACGAAAAGACCCACTTTCAGAACAGGGTTGATTTTGGCTCTGCCACTTGAAATATCCTGTATGGGAAACCAGACGGGATCCCTCTTAAGCTTCTAGTCCACAGTTTCTCAACCTCTGCAACTTTAAGATGTGTGGACTCCCAACTCCTGTAAATCTTATCGGGGGTCACTTGAAGAAGTAAGCCCAGCCTAGAACTAAGGAGAAATTTCCTGACAGTTAGAACAGTTAACCAATGGAACAATCTGCCTCCAGAAGTTGTGAGCACTCCGACACTGGAAGTTTTTAAGAAGAGACTGGACAGCCATTTGTCTGAAATGGTATAGGGTTTCCTGCCTGAGCAGGGGGTTGGACTAGACGACCTCCAAGGTCCCTTCCAACTTATTGCTATTATTATTATGAACAGTTAATTTCAACGTAGATATTATTTTACTACCATTTACTACCATATTATTATTATTTATTATTATTATTATTAATTAGCCTCACCACCATCCCTAGCCTGTTTTTCCTTTGTGTAAATTTGAGCAGTAAATTTGATTAAAAAAAAAAATCCAATGGGTCTTTCTAGGAACCTCTCTCTATAGCAGGGCTCTTCAAACGTGGCCCTTTGGTGACTTGTGGACTTCAACTCCCAGAATTCCTCAGCCAGCGGGCACTCTGGCTGAGGAATTCTGGGAGTTGAAGTCCACAAGTCATCAAAGGGCCAAGTTTGATGACCCCCACTTAGCCCAAGATTTCTGTTGCTAAGCGAGACGCATGTTGAGTGGATTTTGCCCCCATTTGACGACCTTCCTCGCCAGCGTTGTAAAGTGAATCACTGCAGGCGATACGTTGGCCACCCGGTTGTTAAGTGAGTCTGGCTTCCCCATTGACTTTGCTTCTCAGAAAATCGCCAAAGGGGGGAATCCTAGGACCTTGCGACCATCGTAAATATGAGTCAGTCGCCAAGCGTCTGAATTTGGGCCACGGGCATGCCGCGACGGTCGTTAAGTGTGGAAAACGGTCTCCGGTCACTTTTTTCCAGGGCCGTCGTAAGTCGGAACGGTCACTAAACCAACCGTCGTAAATCGAGGACAAAGTGTACTTAGTTTCTCTCGGCTCTTCGGAAAACGGTCTCCGGTCACTTTTTTCCAGGGCCGTCGTAAGTCGGAACGGTCACTAAACCAACCGTCGTAAATCGAGGACAAAGTGTACTTAGTTTCTCTCGGCTCTTCGGAATTGTGACAGGCTTTCTTTTGTTTTCAAAAGCCCTTTTCTGCTTCTGGAGGTGGGCCTGGGAATCACCTATTCTCTCTCTCTCTCTCTCTCTCTCTCTCTCTCACACACACACACACACACACACACACACACACACACACACACAAATGGGTCCTCAAACAGCTCAGTAGAAGCAAACGGGCCACTTAACTTCACATCTCTGGCGCTTTGAATGCCTGGAAAACTCTTTGTGCACTTCCTATTTCCTCTGCTGGAAAATCTTACCAGCCCATAATAATTTAGGGCCCTTCGAAGAAGCTGCCTTGGATCCTCCTTGATCCCTTTTCCTTGTTAGGGGCTAGATTTCCCCCCCCCCCATCCCCGCTGCGCCCTTTGAAACCTTCCCTTTAAAATCCCCTAAAAAAACCTCTCTCCCCCTTCTGAAGACCCAAAAGGCAGGCGAGGAAGAGGAGGAGGAGGAAGGCAACCCCCTTGCACTCAACAAGTTGTAAGCCTAGCTCTAGTTGGTCTGGTGTGGGGGGGGGTAAGAAGGGGGTGTCCCTTCTCTACCTCTGCCAGCTTTTGAAGAATCCCACCAGCCTGATCTAAAATCCACCACTTTTCTTGTCTCAAAGGGATGGTGGGGGAATCAGGGACCCCTCCTCAAAAGCCAGCCAGCCACATTTGGGGAGGGGGGTGTCTGGCTGCAGGGCATGCAGCTTCTCCTTGCCTTCCCCCTCTGCACCTTTGCTCCCCAGCACACACTCACACACACACACACACACACACACACACACACACACACACACAGCCTTAAGAAGTCGGGCAAGTCCGGGCAAGGGTTGCGATTGTGGGGAAAGGTCGGTCCAGAAAGACAAACCAGGGATCTGGACTGGATCCAGTGGGCTGATTGATTTAATCTGCTGGCATTTCCCTCCTCTCTTTCTCTCTGTAGCCCCCTGCCCGCCCTTCCTAACCTGCTGGCTGTCAGTTCCCACTTTCCTTTTTAGGAGATTGTCCTTTTTATAGCATTGTATGGAAACGGCTGTGCGTCTTGGGAGACAGCCATTTTGTGCGTTGTGTCTTGAAATGCATCTTTCCCCCCCACCCCACCCCGGCACGCGGCTTTTTCCGCTTTTAGCACCACGCAGAGAAGTTGGGAAGAGAGAGAGAGAGAGAGAAAGAGGCGGGCAGCCCCCCCCCCCCAAAAAAAAAAACCCCAAAGGGACATTCTGGGCTGGAAGGAAAAACATCTGATAATTAAGCGTATTTTGGCAATCCCATTTTTCTCCGAAGGCCCTTGAGAATTTGGAGACGACCCGAATATCTTCTAAAAGGGCAGATCCAGTGGCAAGGAGCGAGCTGGAGAGAGGAATACAGGTGGTCCTCCCCTTAGGCGCCCGAAATTTCCATTGTTAAGCGAGACGGTTCTTAAGTGAATTTTGCCCCCGTTTTACGACTTTTCTGGCCACGTTGTTAAGGGAGTCACTGCGGGGTTTAAGTTAGTCACACGGTTCCTAAGCGAATCCAGGTTCCCCCCCCCTTGACTTTGCTAGTCAGAACGTCGCAAACGGGGATCCCCTGGCTCCAGGACATGCAACCGTCATAAATATGAGTCAGTTGCCAAGTGTTTGAATTTTGACCGCGGCAACGGCCGTAGGTGTGAAAACCTCTTTTTCCGGTGCTTCGGAGTGCAGTGCTTTCTCGCTGAAAAATCCCTGTTGGGCTTTTTTGGTCGCCTACATTTGGAGATATTGCCGGCAAAGCCTCTTCAGGATGAATCCAGGGACAGACAGAGAGGGATCCGAGTGGATCCCTGAGATTTTTCGACCCAGGCCGGTCTCACTCCTTCACATCGTTCTTCGAAAAGGACTTTCAAAATGGTGCAAAAGGGGAAGGAAAAAAAAAGGTGCTTTTTAAGGAATATTGTTATTATTCCTGTAGATCAGGGCTGTCCAACGTTGGCAATTTTAAGCCTTATGGACTTCAACTCTCAGAATTCCTCAGCCAGTCGGAGTGTGTGTGATATATAACGGTCGTAAATGCGAGGTCCAGTCGTAAGTGTGAGAACTGGACTTTTTTCAGCTCCGTCATAACTTTGAACGATCACTAAGCAAATAAATTGTAAGTTGAGGACTACTGCAGGAGCTCTTCTCTAGCTCATATTGTCCCCATCTGTCATATACTTTTTAACTCCAGAAGAATAAGCCAGAATCTTTTAATGAGACACTGAGACGTCATCAACTTTCTCCTTAGTCAGCTGAATTCTTATCGTGGCTAATTAAATTCTTGACCGTGGTTTCCCCGTCTTGCTTTCTTGGAGTTTAAGAAAGGACCTTATTTGCAGGTTGAAAAGCTAAATTTCCGGCACCACCGTCTAATAAGTTTTGGGTGGTGGGTTTTAAAGAAATTCTAGTTAACTAAACTGGGCTCCCAGCTGTTTTGGGGGGGGTTAGATTTGATGTCTGGCAATAACCTAGATCTGTGTCGATAACCAGGTTTGTTTAGCCGCTGGATGGAATCAACGACGTTAGGAAGTTTTGATTCGTAAGGTTGAATTTCGACTTGCAGATTTGGGAGAGAAAAGGTGATCTAGCTGTTTTTCTAGCCCTGGATTTTTTTTTTGTTATTGTCATCATTTTAAAAGTCAGGAATGAAAACGGAAGGTGCTGTTTGGGTTGCATCAGAAACGGCCATTTATTTTAAGCTGCTTCTTTTTAAAAAAAAAATAGTAGTAAAAATAATATCTACACTAACTGTTCATAATAATAATAATAATAATAATAATAATAATAATAATAATAATAGAATTGGAAGGGACCTTGGAGGTCATCTAGTCCAACCCCCTGCTCAAGCAGGAGACCTTATACCATTTCGGACAAATGGCTGTCCAGTCTCTTCTTAAAAACTTCCAGTGTTGGAGCATTCACCGCTTCTGGAGGCAAGGAGTTCCACTGGTTAATTGTTCTCACTGTCAGGAAGTTTCTCCTTAGTTCTAGGTTGCTTCTCTCCTTGATTAGTTCTTGAGATGTTTGATTACCCGACATGGTCACCTCATTAGATGATGGTTTCTCACTCTTGGCCTTCTCCTTCCATCCCACCCCACCCACCCCCGTCAGGATGGACCGCATGACCGAGGATGCTCTGCGCCTCAACCGCTTGAAGCGGACCCTGGACCAAGCCGAAGAACGGGACGATGTCTTGGCCAAGAGGCTGAAGATGGAAGGCCACGAGGCCATGGAGCGGCTCAAGATGTTGGCCTTGCTCAAGAGGAAAGACCTGGCGGGCATCGAGGTGCCCCACGAGCTGCCGGTCAAGCAGGACGGACTGAAAGTCTACGAGGAGAAGCTGAACGGGAACTTGAGACCCCATCCCGACGGGAGGTCTTCCGGGAGATCCGGCAAGGAGAACATCAACGATGAGCCGGTGGACATGAGTGCAAGGAGAAGGTAGGGATCCTCCCACTTTTGTTTTTTCCACACGGCTGGTCTGGAGGGGGGTACCTATTAATTTTGATGATGGACGTTGAGTATCCAAAGTTCACAAGAAGGTCAGCTTTGGGCCACCCGTTGCGTTCTCCTTCATTTTTATTTTGGTAGGTGAAAACGGTCTTGAGAATTTTGAGGTTGGAAATCAGGAATCCATGGCTGGTTTGGGATTCCAGTTTAAGAAGGACTCGTCTCCCAGAATGCCTCAGGATCCTGCCCTGAACCAGGATTCAGGACAAGTCAACAAACATTGCCAGCTTGGCCAACGCAAAGCTTTGAAGTTTAGGAAGTCTTGATTCTCAACTGAGCAACTTTAAGATATGTGGACTTCAACTCCCAGAATTCTGGCTGTTGAATTCTGGGAGCTGAAGTCCACATATCTCAAAGTTGCCAAGGTTGGGAAACACTGATTTGAAGAGGGGGGGGGAATCCCATTTATTAGGTCTTAGCAGTATTAACACGTGGGTGTAAAACTCGGGAACACAAACCACATTGGTTGCCTATAGTTTTAATTCTCTTAAACCAGGGTTAGCCTGCCACCGGTCATACGGTTTGAAAGCATCGTGGTATCATAAAAGTCCCTTATTCCCCGCTTCCCCCCCCCAACACACACACACACACACACACACACACACACACATTTCTTAATCACCAGCATGAGTGTCTCCCACAGAATGATGGAATGCATGAAACTGCCTCAGATTAAGCCCTTTCCTGACCTCCCTTAATAGAATTATGTTAATGTGTTAAAATTAATTAAATTGGCTTTATTAAGCGAGGCAAGTAGAAGCGAAGAGGAGCTGAAACGCCTCCCCCCTTGTTACAAGGGGGGGAAAGAAACAAATGGATTTTTTTTTTTGATCCACGTTTCCTGCAGATTTTCGCCTGATTCCCGGAAACGCCACGAAGAATAGCCAAAAATCCCCCCCCCCCGAGATGAATTTTCTGTGGTTTATTTTATGCCATAATATTGTGTCTCAGTCCTCCCTTCTGAAAGCATCTATTCCCGAGCTTGATGTTGTTGTTGTTGTTGTTAAGATTCCAGGTCTTCCAGCTTTTAATCTTCTCCCAAACGTTGATCCAGCAGAGATGAGGAGGAGATGAGGGTCAGGGATCCCTAACACATCCTGCTTTCGGCTTTGGGTGCCTAGAGACCCTGTGCTATGAGACCACGATGCAGGGGGTGGCCCGGGCGCCAATCAGACCAAGGTTTAGCAGCGTCTCGGGCGTCAGCTGCGAATTCATGACTCACTCGTGCGTTCGGGTGGCAAAGGGACAAGATGTAGGCGGGCGAGGAGTGTCTCCAAGGCAGAAGCTGGTGACAATCCAGGCTCGTCTACTCGCCATCTGCCCCACCGCCTCTGCTGGTTGGTCACCCTCAATTTTCCCTTGACCTTGAACAAGAGGGGCTTTCAGCTCAGCGGCACCTCCACAGAGCCTAGGAGCTGCTGTCCAATAAGAAGAGAGGGTGGGGCACAGAGTTGAGATGGGGTTGACCTTCATGGGATCAAGCTGGACCCAAACCGGAAGGGGGGAACATCTCCAGCTTTTCCACCTCACATTCTCCACCCTCCCAAGTAGTAAGGAGTAACGGTAATTTGACTCTGCTAGTCGTTGCCGGCTATAGGGAAGGTGCGCATCGCCGTTTCATGGCCATCGAGCCGTCGCCCAAAGATGTTGCCGCGGTCGTGACATCGCGGAGCTCTGTTACTTTCCCACCAAAGTGATACCTATTGATCTACTCGCACTTGCCTGCTTTCGAACTGCTAAGTTGGCAGGAGCTGAGGGGGCAGACGGGAGCTCACCTCGTCACGTGCCACTCGGATTTCAAACCTGGGCTGCCAGCTTTCCAACCAATAAGCCTGGTGTCTTAACCGCCGAGCTGCTGCACCACCTTTCCCTGGTAGAGCAGACAGGAAATGATCTAATTCTACTTCATGGTAGGGCTACATCAACAGAATCTTGCAAAGCTTGCAAGGCCCATTCTCCCACCTTCCCCTTTACAGCTCCAGAAGCTTGGGAGGGTCCCTTCTATGTCTTTTTTCTCCCCCCCTTATGCCGCTCTGGGCTATGCCACGTCTTATCTGATCGTTCCTAGCCTGCCTTTCTTTGCCCCGTCTTTCAAGGTCTTTCTCACATGTCAATGAAGGACAGAAGATGCTGGTTATGGAGAAGAAGCTAAGATCTCTAGGATCAACCAGGCTTCCTGGACAACTCGAATTCCTTCCGGGGGGCGATCTTTCCACCCGCGTCGTTCGATATTGCCACCTTTTCCTCCCAACAGGCCGAGCCATTTATCGACCATCCCTGATGATCATCTCATTGCCCTCTAGGGAACAGAACCCTCTAAGGTTGAGGGAGTTGTGAGAACAGGGCCTTTCCACCCCTCTCGACTCCAGTCTTCGTGGTTTGGGGGGTCCCTTGGCCCACAAAACACCCTGGGAGGCTTGTGGTCCTCCCCTCTGTGTGATGTCACAAGGCAACCAGCGAGTGCTTGGTTACCACCGGGTTGCCTCTTGCGTCTCCAGGCGACGAGAAGGGGCGGCCGCCTCTGGTGTCCATTGATTCCCTTCCAGGCCTCAATTTGGCCTGGTGTGTGCAGGGCCTTCCTCTGGAGGAGAGCAGCTGGCCCAAAGGAGCATGGAATGCAGGTATCTGCCGCCCTTCAAGGCTTCTCTGGTGGGCCTTTGGTCCAGAATCCTCCCCTTACCCGTCCGTCCTTTCGCAAGGATTGATTTTCCTCCTAATTCTTGCTCACGTCAGAACAGAAAAGCAGAGTCGGAAGGGACTTTGGAGGTCTCCTAATCCAACCCCTTGCTTGAGCAGGAGACCCTAGACCATCTCACCCAGTCTCTCCTTGAAAGCCTCCAGTGATGGAGCACCCACAACTTCTGGTGGCAAGCGGTTCCACCGGTTAATTGTCCTCCCTGTTAGGAAGTTTCTCCTTCATTCCAGGTTGCTTCTCTCCTTGATTAGTTTCCATCCCTTGTTTCTTGGCTTCTGCTGCTTTGGAGACTAGGATGACCCCCCCCCTTCTTTGGGGCAGCCCCTCAAAAACTGGAAGGCTGCTCTCATGTGTCTCCCCCCCCCCCCAGTCCTTCTTTTCATTAAACTGGCACTCAGCCCTGCTGCCCTCTTGATCCGTTTTTGCGACCCGCTTGACAAGCAACCTCCACGGGGAGGCCAGACTAACGACTGCAGGGCTGACTTTCACAACTGCCGCGATTCGCTTAAGAAGTGCGGCAAGAACGGGCGCAAAATGGGGCAAAACCCGCCCGACAGAACGTCTCGCTTAGCCGGAGAAAATTTGGGCTCCACTGTCGTCGTACATCGAGGACTGCCTGCACAGAGAGGAACTTTCGTCGGGAAACTCTCGCTTGAACTTCAAAGGACCCAGACTGGGATCCAGGACTTGGCTCGGGCAGACCGAGGGCTCCACTGCCTAAGTCCCAGCCTGGGCGGGGGGGGGAAGGGGGTGATTTTGCCACCCCTCTCTCACACACACACACACACACACACACACACACACACACACACATACATCCCCAGAGGAAAAAGAACAACATGCCTTTGGTGGCTGGTGGGCTGCTGGAGGGGTGGGCAGGAGCTGCGCTCCGGGCTGCTTTCGTCCACGTGGGCTTATGTAATTGAGCATCCCAGCCAGGACCAGAGCAGAGATGAGGCAGAAAATAGGAAACGCTATTAAAAACTGAGAAGGCTTGGTTTTGTTTATTCTGAAGGCAGCTTTCTGCTCGGCTCGTGTACAGCTGTTGAACAATACAGGTGAAAAAGGCCACCCTAGGCTGGTGAGGTGGGGTGGGGTGGGATGGGGGGGCTTAAACGGGGCCAGACCTTGGAAAATGTATAACTTCATAGCACTGAGAGTGTTCCCCAGTTTGGGTCTGCCAGGAAACCACCCAGCTCAGACAGCCCCAAGGAGCCCCACGGGATGAAGTGATGGTCGCTGGGACGCCTTGGATAAAGACCCAGCTCTTGAGGAAAGCTCTTGTGTTGAGAAAGATCTCACTCTGACCAAATGTGTGTGAGAGAGCAGGAGGCGGGGGAGGATGGATGGAGAGAATAGGGAAGGAAGGAAGGAAGGAAGGAAGGAAGGAAGGAAGGAAGGAAGGAAGGAAGGAAGGAAGGAAGGAAGGAAGGAAGGAAGGAAGGAAGGAAGGAAGGAAGGATTAGAGAGAGAATAGAGAGGATGGCCAGATGTCTGGATGGATTGGGAGATAGATAAATAGAGAGATGATGGATGGATGGATGGATGGATGGATGGATAGATAGATAAATAAATGATGGATGGATGGATGCTTGGATGGCAAGACAGAAATAGAGATATTATGGAGAGATGATACAGATGTATAGAGAGGATTGATGGATGGAAAGATAGATAAATAGAGAGATGATGGAGAGATGATACAGATGAATAGAGAGGAGGGAGAAATAGATAATAAATAATGCAGATGAGTGTGTAGGAGGGAAGGAAGGAAGGAAGGAAGGAAGGAAGGAAGGAAGGAAGGAAGGAAGGAAGGAAGGAAGGAAGGAAGGAAGGACAGCGTGAACTGGATGGAAGCTTGGTTACAGTGGTGATGGGAACGCTGAAGGACCAGGTTGGGGACACATTTTATACAGAAAATCTATGCGGCCACTTGATGTCACACAACTCATCCTTTACCTGCTCCGATTCCTTTGTGGGTCCAGCTGTGTAAGGGACAACTTCCTTCCGGTAGCTTCTTGTCTCCCGGTCCAACCCCACCCCCACCCCTTCACTCACTCCGGCTTTTCTTTCTCAACTACCTCCTCTCCCCTCTCCCCTTTCTGCGATCAGTAGCGATCAAGACAGGGGACGGCTCACCCCCTCTCCGGATGTCATTGTCCTCTCCGACAACGAGGCCTCCAGCCCGCGCTCCAGTTCCCGCATGGAAGAGCGGCTGAAGGCAGCCAATTTGGAAATGTTCAAGGTACATCAAGGGAGGGGGAAAATGTGCAAGGAGCACCTTCGCAAGGAGGGTCTTGCGACTTGCCTCCCTGGATCAGGTTGGGCTCCCAGACCACAGCAGCCTCTTAAAACCTGCTAAGGGGAGGTGTTCCCCACTGGGTGCTCTGATGTGCGAGCCCTGCAGGAAAATTGGCCTCCATCCTCACCTCTTGGCCTCCTTTCCGCAGGGGAAAGGGGTCGAGGAGAGGCAGCAGCTCATCAAACAGCTCCGGGACGAGTTGCGATTAGAAGAAGCCCGGCTGGTGCTGCTGAAGAAATTACGGCAAAGCCAGCTGCAGAAGGAGAACGTGGTCCAGAAGGTGAGGCGGTGAGCGCTGGTCAGCCTGGCCTTCCCTCTCGTCAACACCTCAGTTGGCCAGGCCTGGCCAGCCTGTTTTATGAACCCGGAACAGGGTCTGGAGAAGTTTTCTCTCCCAGCGCAAAACCCTTAGTGTTCGGTTTAGCCCAGGGCGTCTCCAAACTTGACAACTTTAAGGCTCGGTGGACTTCAGCTCCCAGAATTCCCCAGCCAGCTGTGCAGTTAAACAAGGTTGCACATTTTTCTAATAATCCTTCGTCTCTTTCTTTCCATCCTCGGCCAGACTCCGGTTGTCCAGAACGCAGCGTCTATAGTCCAGCCATCTCCTGCCCACGTCGGACAGCAGGCTCTGTCCAAACTCCCCTCCCGACCTGGAGTTCAAGGGGTTGAGCCCCAAAACCTCCGAACATTACAGGTAAGAGACCTCCAGGAAACTGTTACTTGTCGTCCCGCCTTAGGCAAGAAAGGCAGACGACTAACTAAGCAGGGTCCAGCCTGGGCAGGCTTGGGATGGGCAACTCCTGGCATCGCTGAGTTGGGAGTGGGAAGTTGAAAAACTAACCCAGCAATAGCTATCCGCTCTTGAAAGACTTAACCTTTCTCTTGCTTCTTGGGACAGGGTCACAGTGTCATCCGATCGGCCACCAACACCGCCCTTCCCCACATGCTTATCTCCCAGCGCGTCATTGCCCCCAACCCCACTCAGCTTCAAGGACAGCGCATCCCTCCCAAACCAGGCCTGATCCGCAGCACCACACCCAACATGAGCCCTGCTATCAATTACCAGCCGGTGAGTGACGAGAAGTCTTCCTGTTTGGAGAGAAAGGGATGGAAACACAAAGGAGAATAGAGAAAGGGATGGGAACATAAAGGAGAAGAGAGAAAGGGATGGAAGCACAAAGGAGAAGAGAGAAAGGGATGGGAACACAAAGGAGAAGAGAAAAAGGGATGGAAACAAAGGAGAAGCAAGGCTGGCACCCACAAACATAGCGCCAGACTTTGAAGTTGTGTCTTGTCTCTCTCTTACCCCCCCCCCAGCCGTCCTCCTCGGCAGTGCCCTGCCAGCGAACCAGCTCCTCCGCCATCTATATGAACCTCGCCTCCCACATCCAGCCTGGGACGGTGAACAGGGTGGCGTCCCCCCTGCCCAGCCCCAGCGCCATGAATGACGCCGCCAACTCTCAGGCTGCCGCCAAGCTCGCCCTGCGCAAGCAGCTGGAAAAGACTCTGTTGGAGATCCCGCCCCCCAAGCCCCCCGCCCCCTTGCTCCACTTCCTGCCCAGCGCGGCCAACAGCGAGTTCATCTACATGGTGGGACTGGAAGAAGTGGTCCAGAGCGTCATTGACAGCCAAGGTAATGGGTGCAGGACGAGGGAGGGACCAAAGCACAAATTTCACAAGCACCACACCTGGACTGGGAAAAGTCCCAGATGGTAGTTTCTGGTCCCTAGCCGTCCTTCGTGGGTCATTGCAAGAGGAAATCCAGCACTCCTCTCTGAATTAACTCACTGCTAGCATTTCACTAGAACCATTTTGACCCAGTGCTGAAGACACCAAGCTAGAAACCAGGAGACAAGTGAGTTCTAGTCCTGCCTTAACCCTGAAAATGAGCTGGGTGATTTTGGACCAGTCACCAGGTGACGGTGAGATCTAGTCCTGCCTTAAGCATGAAAGCTGACTGGTTGACTCGGGGCCAATCACCAGGAGACGGGGAGTTCTAGTCCCACCTTAGGCATGAAAGTGAACTTGACTTGGGGCCAATCACCAGGAGATGGTGAGTTCTAGTCCCGCCTTAGGCATGACAGCCAACTGGGTGACTTTGGGCCAGTCACCAGCCAATGGTGAGTTCTAGTCCCCTCTTAAGCACAAAAAACCAGCTGGGTCCTTCCCTCTTAGCCCAGCCCGTCTCGCAGGATTGTTTTTGTAGGGGAAATAGGAGGAGAAAGGAGTAGTGAGTAGGTTAGGGTTATTAATAAAGAATAATAATAGAGGCGGGCTTCATTGCTTTCCTTGGATAATTGGGCTTCCTCCTCCTTCCCCCCCACCCCCCAAAACACCCCCCCCCCAGGCAAAAGCTGTGCCTCCCTCCTCCGAGTGGAGCCCTTCGTCTGCGCCCAGTGCCGCACGGACTTCACCCCGCACTGGAAGCAGGAGAAGAACGGGAAGATCCTCTGTGAGCAGTGCATGACCTCCAACCAGAAGAAGGCCCTCAAGGCTGAGCACACCAACCGGCTGAAGAACGCCTTCGTCAAAGCCTTACAGCAGGAGCAGGCAGGTCGAGGGGCCGTGTGTGTGTGTGTGTGTGTGTGTGTGTGTGTGTGTGTGTGTGTGTTGGTGGTGGTGGTGGTGGTGGCGTGAGCAGGCTGAGTGTGCAAAACACCCCCCCCCATCCCCATCGCACGAGGCCTGGGGTTTTTTGCTGAGTGGCAGGAGGGGTAGGGGAGGGGATGCCCTGCTTCGCCCACACAGACTGGGTGGCGACGGTCTCCCTCCCACCTTCCCCAGGAGATCGAGCAGCGGCTGCAGCAGCAGGCCACCCTCTCGCCCACCACGGCTCCGGCCAGCGTGGCCAGCGTCAGCAAGCAGGAGAGCATCATGAGGCATCACACACTCCGTCAGGTGAGACCCTCCCTCGCCTCTCCCCCCCCCCCGGCCTGGCCCTTTTCCCCACCTGGGGGAGGGCCCAGCTTGTCTCTGCCCCCCAGTTCCCTGGCTGGCCCAGGTGCCCCTTCAGTCAAAATGGCATTTGGGTTTAAGGGCTGCCCCACAACTCCCCTTGGGCTCCCTCCCTCCTTCCTTTCCTTCTTTCTTTGCTTCTTCCTTCCTTCCTTCCTCATCCCAATTATAGGGACTCTGGGCAGCTTAACAATCCCAAAACTATCTTAACACAACACAAAGCATTTTAAACACAATGAAGGCATCCAACATAACTACACTTTTTCCTTCCTCCAGGCCCCCCAGCCTCAAAGCTCCCTACAACGCAGTTTGCCCACCTCCGCTCGCTCCATGTTGTCCAACTTCGCACAGGCGCCGCAGCTTCCCGTCGCCAGCGGTCTCCTTGGGATGCCAGGTAACCGGGCCGAATTGGGGCTGGAAGGAGGTGGGTGGAATTCAGCCACAGAGCCAAGCCCCCCCCCCCTTCTGCTGGGACAGGAATTTTCCAGAACATCCCAAAAATGGATTTTATCTTCCCCCCCCTCCATCTGTCCAGGAGTCAACATCGCCTACCTGAACGCCGGGATGGGCGGCCACAAAGGCTCCAGCTTGGCGGACCGGCAGCGGGAATATCTCCTCGATATGATCCCTCCGCGCTCGATATCGCAATCCATTAGCGGGCAAAAATAACACCAGCCCTGCCCCCCCCTCCTCCTCCTCGTGACTCCCCATCTGCGCCCGCCCCCCCTCGTCTGTCGCATGCAGTGCCTGTACTGGTGCCTACCACGGAAGGACAGACCCCAGAAAACATTGGGAAAAAAGGAAGAGAAAGGAAAGCAAAAATGAAGACGAGAAAACGTTTGCGCAACCCCGCCCTCTTCGCAACCGTCGCGCTCGCAGCCCTGTACCTGAGCCGCCCACTCTGGATTTTGTTTTTGGGGCGGTGGGAGCCCTCAAGCTCTTTCCTGCTCCCCTCTCCCCCCTCCCACTCAAAGGTCAGAACACATCAGCCGGGATCCCCTGGCCCCGTGCCCGTGTGTTTCCCGCTTGTTTTTAACGGCTGCTTTTTCTTTTCTCCTTTTGTTCGGGTTTTCCGTCTGTAATGGCAACCTGTAGAATTTTTAACGGCTGCTTTTTTCTCTCTTTTTTTTTTAAACGCCTTTGGCTTTTTTGCTTCCACGGGAGGGAGAAAAGGAGACCACCTGGAGAGGAGGGGATTCCTGGAGTCTTGGAACGATTTTTTTTTTCCATCCTGGCCCAAAAAGAGGAGGGATCGGCGAGGGGGGAGGATGACAACGGTTGCCCCGCTTCGGAGCTGAAGCCAACCCTGGTTTTGGGGTGGGGGTCAAAATATCCACGAGAAGGCTGCTTTTGGAGACGGGAAGACCACCAAGAGTTTTTTTGTTTGAATCGTCCACCCTAGGAAAATGAAACTTCTGCATGCCGGAGATTTGTTCGACCCTCGCCTCGATGCGTTGGCCAACATCAGTCTGGGCCAAAGGAAAGATCCAGGGACCCTGGATCCTTGCCATCCCTCCAGCCAATAGATGCTGGAGGCAAGGAGCCCCTTCCCCCTCGCCAGTTCCTTTGCCTGTAGTATTCGCCCCTCGGCTTGTTTTTTCCTTCTCTGCTTTGCCTGCCCAGGAAGTCGCTATTTCCCACGCAGCGATTGGGAACGTGAGAACGCCTCCCAGCCTTTCCCTCCTTGCTCCAAATGATTGACCCCGGGATTCTTGGGACCACCTCGGCCATCGGTCCCTCTGAAAAGACCGGCAAACTCCAGGGAGGGTCCCTCTGCTTCCTTTTCGCCCGTCCGACCTCTTCAGCACTTACAAATCCACGGGAGGCGGCAGGAAGCTTGTCTGGATGCGCAGAAGAGACTGAGACCTGGATTTTACCCCCCCCCCCAGCGCTCGGGACGAGTTGGAAAAGCAGGCACCTCCCGGCATCTAAACCCAGACAGCCCGACGTGCCGCTACGGGCCTCCCCTTCCCCAAATTTGTGCAATTCTCTACCAAGCCAGCTTGGCCACGCGGCACTCGGCGATGGTTTTATTTTGTTTTATTTTTCCCTTGCTCTTTCGAATGTGGCATTTTAAGTCCCCCCCCCCGTTTCCCCCAGCTCGCCCTAGGCACCCCCTCCTTAATCCTCTTTCCCTGGGCTTTCTCTGTTGTGGCTCAAACTGGGGGTCACCAAAGACCCGCCTTAATTTAGTGGGTCACGTAGGTTAAGATTTTGAGTTTCAGTTTGGGTTGGATATTGTGCTGATTTTCTTCCCTCCCCTCCTTTTTTCCTCCTATCCTCTGTCTATTCCTTCCTTCCTGTCTACTTTTATTCCTTCCCTCCTCCCTTCCCTTTCTTTCCTTCCTTCCTTCCTTCCTTTATTTCTTCCCTCTTTCTCTATTCCTTCCTCTCTTTTAATCTTTTTTTTCTTTTCGGTGATGTAGGAAACGTGCAATAATTTTTGCTCAAGTATCAAAAAAAAATAATAATAATTCGAAAAAGCGCCTGTTTGAATTTACGCCAAGAAATTAGCCAAAATAGATGGGAATGTTGCTATACGGAAGACTTGATTTTTTTCTGGCAGGGTCTGAAATTGACGTGCTCACCCATCTCTCTTCCTTTTGAGCACTCTTCATAAATTTGAATTCCCCCCCCGCCCGTAAACCTAAGCTCTTTCCTATTCCCTCCCCTCCTCTTGATTTTTCTCTTATCTTTTATCTCTTTCTGTCTATTTTTGGGGATGTAATATAGAAAAATACCTTTTTTTTAATTTCAAAAGAAAAAGGTTCAGAGATTAATATGCTGGCTTTCATTTCTTTGTTTTTTGGGGGGGGGGTGTTACTGTTTAGTTGTAGCTGCTTTGTGAATTATGCCGAGCTTCTGTTTTGTTTCCTTGTTTATATTTTATTTTATTTTGTATGTTAACGGTTCCGTCGGGAAAACGGGGAGGGGCAAAAGCCATCCCGCCCCCTTAATTTTCCTCCCCCTGTCCTTCGCGCCCTTCCCTCCACGAAAATGTCCTCTTTGCTTAACAGTAACCTTGCTGCCGAAAAAGCAAAAAAAAAAAAAAAAAAAAAAACGTTATAACAAGGACTCCTTTGTTGTATATAAGCTATTTCTTGACACATTAAAGAAAAGGAAAAAGAAAACCAGAGAAAAGAAATGGAAAAAAAAGGAAGAAAGAAAGAAGGGGGGGGGAGAAGGGAGGGAGAAGACAAACAAAACAAAAACAAGTTATACATTGTATAGAGAAAAATCAAAACCACAAAAAAGAGACAGCTTAGCCATGGATATTGTGACGTTTGTCGATGTCCTTTTGTAGTGTGAACTCCTTTGTGTATGACATTAAAATGTGCAAAAAAGTGGTTTCCTGGGGAAGGGGGGAGCTGGAGGGGGCTGGGCAGATCCCGTCCACCCATGCACCCCCCCCTTTTCAACGCCCCCCAAAAAAGCTGAAATGGATTTGGTGGCTCTTAGTTCCCACAATGGTGCCTTTTCATCTTCTTGTACCCCAGGACACACACACACACACACACACACACACCCAACACAAGGCCGGCCTGGGTTCTACTCCTCTTAAGCCCACCCTAGATTTTATTTTTCAGTTGGGGGGGTTCCTTGGGGTGGGGGCGAGCACAACCTACAAGTATTACCACGGATTGGAACGATTCAACTGTAAATTTGCACTGATTTTAAAAGATGCTTTGGGACAAAGCTGCTGGTTTTTGACGTTGGCCAAGGAGATCTTTGAAGCCTCCCTTTTGATCTTCTCACCCCCACCCCAGAGATGGAGGTTTGGTCTTTTGGGTGTTCCTCTCCTAGGCTCTCTCTCTCTATCCCATCTTCTGATGTTACCTCCATCTCCATTTTGGATAACTCAACTCATCTTCTGCCTTGTCAACTTTTCATCTTCTTTTTTGGTAGAACATTTGAGAAGAACGTCTTCACCCATCTTTCTTCGCCTATCTTCTTTCTTCCTTGGTAGATCTTTAGAGACGATCACAGTTATGGCTTCACCCACCTTCTTTCTTCCCTGGCAGAACTTTTCAGAAGATCACCCTCACAGCGACGTAAGCTCTCCGCCTCTTCTTTCGTCGCAATCATAGCATTTCAACAGTCTTAGTTCCATCTCTTGATGGACCAAGCATTCCAGCATTCAAGACGGGTCCTTCCTGCCTTCTTTCCCCACAATTTCTTTGCCTCTCATCCACCGCTCCATTTTATTAGGTTTGGTTGAAGCTTTGGAGACGTCCAACAGACCGGCTATCAAACATGGAAGAACTTGACTGTGTGAGACTTCTGGGAGTTGAAATCCATCCATCTTAAAGTGGTTGAGGAATTCTGGGAGTGGAGGTCCACCTGACATCAAGTGGTTGGGGAATTCTGGGAGTTGAAATCCATCCATCTTAAAGTGGTTGAGGAATTCTGGGAGTTGAGGTCCACCCGACATCAAGTGGTTGAGGAATTCTGGGAGCTGAGGTCCACCCAACATCAAGTGGTTGAGGAATTCTGGGAGTTGAGGTCCACCCAACATCAAGTGGTTGGGGAATTCTGAGATCCATCCATCTTAAAGGCACGTTTGAATATTTTGAGAAGGTTGAGAAACACTCAACCCTGAAGGTCGTAAAGAAGCCAACAGAGATACGTCTGACCATTCTTGAACTGTTGCCAAAGAGCTGGCAACCCCTATCTTGGTCTTCTTTTGGTTTCAACCAGTAGCCTCTTCCAGTTGCAGAAGTCAGATCTATTTTGGGGTGGAGGGGGAAAGGAGCTTTGGGACAAACCCCTTCAAGTTCACATCTCCAGCTTAACTTGGGAGCCACTTGGCAAATTGTTAAGGTGGAAATACTGGGGTGGGGGGTTTAAGGGGCAGCAGGGGGGGTGGGGAGAGGGGAAGAGAACAGGAAACCAATCCTTTTTGCACCATTTTAAGAGGGGTTTTTAATTTCTTCTTTTCCTTTTTTTAAAAAAAATTTTGGCCTTGTGTTTTTGGATCTGGTTTAAAAGGTGATGAAAGGATTAAGCAAACAAACAAACAAAAAAGTTGTTTAAACATTGCCAATTGATTATGCAGTGACTGATTAAAATAATAATAATAATAATAAGCTAATTTTTGGAGAAAGGATTAAAAAAAAAAACTTTGTAATATTTATCACTTCCAAGCTATGTTTAATAAAGAAAGGAATGGTTTATACATTTTGATGTGGCCGCTTCGGCGGCTGGAATAAATTCTTCTCTTGTTTCAGCTCTCTGCTGCATCTTAACAGCCACTCCAAATCTACAGGCAGTCCTCGGCTTAACGACCGTTCATTTAATGACTTCAAAGTTACAACCGCACCGAAAAAGGGGACTTAAATGACCCCTTTCCACAAGCAAAAAGACCAACGACCCACAAAATTGATAGAAAGAGGGATTTTCTCCCAGACCCTCAAAAGTCGAGTCTAATATCAACTTGGCCGCTAGAGAAATATTTTTAATCGCTTCTTTCCCCCCCCCCCAAAATAGGCAGCCAAGAACAATCTTTTTTCCTTTTTTTATTTTAATTTTCAACACAGTCAAAGTTTTCCCAGGCATTACAAGTTCAAGGTTTTGTAACCTTCAGTGGCTAAAGCGGGGTGATTTTGCCGCCAGATTCCCCCCCCCAAAAAAAATTTATAAAAGGAGAAAGAAGACCCTCCGCATCTAAAATTAGGAGCCCACATTAAAATTCGGAGAAAACATATTTGAAAAAGTCCAATTTCTCCTCCCCTCCCCCCCCCAGACCATCTTCCGTTGCCTTAGAGATTTTATTTTCCCGTCCTTTTCTTCTTTCCAAAATACCTTTTAAAAAGATTTTTTTTCTTTCCTAATTTGGGCAGCTCTTGTTCAGCCGTGAAATAGCCACTGTGGATTTCCAAAACCTTCAATAATTTGAGGTTGGCGCCCTTTATTTTCTTAGGATGGAGAAGAGAGCCAGTTTGGATACATGTGTCAAAATTACTTCCCGCCACTGGAATTTAACAGTCCCAGTTTTCTTGCTGGTCCGATAGACTTTCCTTCCGTTCTTCATCCTTCTTTTTTTTGCCTGAAATTTCCTCTCTTGCAGGAAATTCCTTAGCTTCTTCATAACTCAAGAGTGCCCTTCTCCCATTTGTTTTATTTATTTTTTAATCTCCCAGGAAGGCTCTGCCCGGGTCCTTTTAAAGCTCGCCTCCTGGTTCCACAAACGCAAACATTTTTTTTTTAAAGCAATTTTTTTAGATTCAAGAGCATTTGCTTCTCTCATTGGTACTAGCCATTTTTTCTCTCTCTCAACAACGGTTCAAGGGCGGGAAGGCCACCTTCGCAATCTCCTGCCAATTTTCAACCCTAATGAAATACTTCAAGAGAAAGAGCGAGCGATCCGAGATGAAAATAAAATTTAAAATGGTGTCTTGATTTCGTGTCGGGTACCTAAGTCTGCCCTAAAGCTCACTTGCGGCTAAAATGGTTTCCCATTTAAAGAGCAGGCTTGGGGGTGAACCCCCTGAAAGAGCTCTGTTGAGGAAACGTAGGAATACATTTCTTCAGAAAAAGAAAAAAAGGAAGGAAGGGAAAAGATGGAAGGAACTGGTGCTTTTCCTTCAACAAGTCTTCATCAGAATATAGAAGGGGAAGGAAGGAAGGAGAGGGAGAAAGAAACACAGGAAGGGAGGAGAGGAAAGCGAAAGCGGCATAAAGAGGGAGGGGAGGGATGGAGAAAAGAAAGGAGGGAGGGACAAGGAAGGAAGGGGAGACAAGGATAGGGAAGGAAGGAGGGAGAGAAAAGGGAGAGAAGCAGTATATGGAGGGATGGAGGAAAAGGGAGGGACAAAGAAGGAAGGGGAGACGATAGGGAAGGGAGGGAAGGAAAGGAGATGGGGAGAGAAGCAAGGAAGGAGGGAGAGAAGGATAGGGAAGGAAGGAAGAGGGAGAAAAGGGAAGGAAGAGGAAACGGCATAAGGAAGGAGGGAGGGAAGGAATAGAGGGATGGACAAGGAAGGAAGGAGGGGAGACAGAAGGACGGAAGGGAGGGAGGGAGGGAAAGAAAGGGGAGATAGGGAGAGAAGGAAGGAAGGAGGGAGAGAGGATAGGGAAGGAAGGAAGAGGGAGAAAGAAGGGAAGGAAGAGGAAAGGGCATAAGGGAGGAAGGGAGGGAGGGAAGGGGAGATAGGAGAGAAGCAAGGAAGGAGGGAGAGACAGGATAGGGAAGGAAAGAATCTTGGTCAGGAGCTACAATGGTTCCCTTACAAGATACCTTGGGTCAACCATGCTGGATCTTAAACACTCCCAACACAGAGCTATGGACCATCCAAGCTTCTCATGAGAATTCAGACAACACTCCTTGGTGTTGACTCCGGCCCGGCCCTTGAACCACAGTCCGTGCTTCCCTACGCCGGGAAGCACCTGCTATTTGAGGAAAACGAAGATCAAACTCATTTCAGCTAAGGGGGGGTGGGAAAAAAACCCATAATTTTGCCTAAGGCACTAGAACGATCCAAAAGCAGATTTGGGAAAGAAAATTCAACTTTGGGACAGAGAAGGGAAGGAAGAGGAAAACATTTTGGTTGCAGTTTTTAGAGAAGAAATGAGAACGAATAAGGTAGGAATAAGCGTCTAGCTAATATTCTTTTTTTCAACACAAAACTTTGAAGATGTCCAGGCTGAATCAGCAAACACTCTTTGAGTCCTAGTCTTTTGTGGAGACACCATTTCTCTCTCTCTCTCCCTCCCTCTCTCCTGTTTTCTTTCTTTCTTAATTTTCTCTTGAGAAAGAGCAGAGAGAGAGAGAACGAAAGACAAGACCACCACCCGTGGACCGAGAAGGCAGTAGCCACCTTCTCAAGAACAAACCCTCATCCGATTTCTCTCCCCGTCCTTGATTTTGCTCTCACTCTGGTGACCTTCTCAAAACATTTAGCCCACCTTCCCTTTTAGTTACCACGAGAGGACACTCTGTCAATTCCCTGAAGAACTGAGGTGGTTCCCATCTCCACCTAGAAGCAAACATTTAGGTGGGACTCCAAGGAGACCTTACGCTACAGCTGATCCTGCCAGGGTGGCCTGGCCGTTGGAGAAAGA